ACAGGTATATTATGTAGAAAATATCCATAATAAAATTTTAAAATCGTATATATATTACCGTTAGATGGCGTAATATATTTATAATTGAGTTTTTATTAATTATAATATGAATCAAAGGTGTATAATTCTTTGCTCTGGATTAATTTATTTGGTACAAACTTATATAATCATAAAATAAAAAAATTATTAAGTTTTCATCATTATTTTTGAAGTTATGATGCCCATTCTCAGTTTAGTCATTATTTTTAGATAATTGGATCTTAAAAATATATAATTTTTTTGACTTTTTTTGTGTAAACTAAATTATATATACATAAAACGAAAAATTTGTTTCCATCATTATTTTTGGAGTTATTCTCAGTTTAGTCATTTTATTTTCTATTTTTGGGTTTTAAACACAGAAGAGATAGTACAAAAAATAGATGGTGAAATAATTGATGACAAATTTTAGGACTTTCCAATAAATTTTAAAAGAATAGTTCAAGAAACTAGTATTGATATAGAATAATGGAAGTAATTAACAATATAAAAAATCATGAAATATAAAAATATGGAAATGGATGAGCTTAATTAAATATTATCTTTAAAGAAAATAGGATCATAATAGCGAAAAATATGAGAAATAATATATTGCAAGAATTACCCAAAGGGCATCTTGGTGCTGGGAAAACAAAATCATTGGCGAGAGATTATTTGTAGTGGCCTGGTTTAAACGCTGAAATAGATCAGGAGGTGAAAAATTGTGATACATGTAATAAATATGCAAATAATCCTCATAATATACAAAACCCTTGGGAAAAAACAACAAAAGTATTCGAACGCGTGCACATAGACTTTGCGCAATTTGAAAATAGCAATTTTATGGTATGTGTTGACGCACTTAGCAAATTCTCTATCATTAGAAGAATGAGAAACCTAACCACTGAGTCAACAATTAAAGAATTGATGAAAATAATCAGCTTATTTGGTGTACCTAATAAAATAGTCAGTGAAAATGGTACCAACTTTACTAGTAACTTATTCAAGAAATTTTGCGAAGATCATGGAATTGAATACATTCTCACCGCGCCTCACCACCAACAGTCCAATGGTCAGTGTGAGCGAATGATAAGATCAATGAAAATAAACATGAAAAGGAATATGGAAAGTAATAATAAAATAGACTTAGATATAGCTTTAGTTCTTATTTAATTATCGTAACACACCAAACGCAACAACCAACAAGATACCAAGATAAGTGATGTTTAACAGAACTATAAGAACCAGATGGGATTTAATTAAACCACAGGAAGATAAAGTAAATGAATTTAATCGTAAATATCGTTAAATAGAAATATCATGAATGGTGACAAAGTTATAAAACTTTCAAGTATAATGTTTGGAACAAAGGCACGGTAAAACGCAAAAATGGGAATTTATTATATGAAGTAGATACAATACAATATCTTGTTATATTCGCTTGTGATCGACGATTGCTAAGTATTAATTTGAATACAAATTAGTTTGTGAATATATTGAATATGTAGTCTAGGAATTAATTTTTTTATGAACTTGAATAGACTTGTAATTTTAATTATTTTTTATGAATACTTGTAATTTTTATTATTTTTATGAATTTTTAATATACTTGTAGTTTTGTTTTGCATATTAAAAAAAATGTATATAAATGGGATAAAATTTCCAAATAAAACAGTTGTCTAGTTTTATGATTTTAAAAGCTTTAGTATTATGGTGCAAAATTCAGGATATTAATAGCATGGTTGATTACAAGTCATATAAATAATAGTAACATTCGTAAGATTATTAACCGAAATTATTAAATATTTATATATCAATTTTATTTAATACTAGGTTCCTTAATTGTATTAAGTCTCTCCCACTAGCTTTGACAAATAAATTACAATCCTATATAAGGAGTGGTAACATATCTTTTGCTCTAAGTTTTAGAAGAATTGATGATCTAAGTATAGGAATACAAAAACAGAGTCTTAATAGTAAAAAACCAAGCAGAAATATAATATTGCCCCAAAAATTTGATAATTTTATAATGAATATTAAAAAAAGGACTAAAAAAATAAAAAAATAATTATATATAATAAATAATAAAATATTTTTCTTTTAAATAAACTTTCAATAGCTAAAGCTAATGAAATATACTAATGATGATTATATAACTATCAAGTTCAACAAAGGACAAACGAACAAATAAATGATGAAGAAACCGGTAAGAAAGACAAACGATAAGATGTTAGACAGAGGGCGAAAACGTGAAATGTCATCGACCAAGATAATGACCGTCTAGCTGACGTTTAGAGGCCCAATAGAAATAAAACGTTGCCTGCGCGATATCAAGTTTATATCATGAACTTATAAGATTCACATACAAGAAGAACCTGAGTGGAGTTCATTTCTAAAAGGGTGGAATGTTGAGATGACCTGATTAATCTTTTTTTACATATTTCTTTTTCGTTAATTTTGATTTAAATTGATTTTTCGTTTATGTAAATTATTAAATTGATTTTTCGTTTATAAAAATTGATTTTTTACAAGCTATATATAAGCAGGAAAATATATTACATTGATCCAACATCATGATATATATATTTCCTATTATGAAAATGGAGGAATAAAATGTCAGAAACCCAATTATTTTTTTAAATAAAATAAATCTTATATGATTGTAATTTGAATTGATGAATAAAATCTCTTAAATTTGTTGTACCTATTACCAGTAAACATTCTGGATGGACAATTGCTTATTAAATTTAGAAACCTTCAATATGGAAGAAAAATTAGTCTTATAATATGTAATATAGAACAAAATAGAAAATATCCATAATAAAATTTTAAATTCACATATATATATTTTTCCGTTAGATGGCGCAATATATATATAATTGAGTTTTTAATAAATAATAATATGAATCAAAGGAGTATGATTTTTTGCTCTGGATTAATTTATTTAGTACAAACTTATATAATCATAAAACGAAAAAAAATTTGTTTCCCTTCATTATTTTTGGAGTTATGATTGTCAATTCTCAGTTTAGTCATTTTTTTTTTAGATTTTTGGGTTTTAAAAAAATATATTATTTTTTTTGACTCCTTTTGTGTAAACTAATTTATATAAACATAAAACGATAAAAATTTGTTTCCATAATTTATTTTGGGTTATGATGTCAATTCTCAGTTTAGTCATTTATTTTTAGATTTTAAAAATATTTATTTTTATGATTCCTTTTGTGTAAACTAACTCGTATATAAAACGAAAAAAAAAATTTTTCCCTCCATTATTTTTGGAGTTATGATGTCAATTCTCAGTTTAGTCATTTTTTAAAAAATTTTTTGACTTATTTCGTGTAAACTAAATTACATAAACATAAAACGAAAAATTTTTGAAGTTTTCATCTTTATGGCAATAAATAATATATATATAAAATCTTTAAAATTAGAAATATCAATATTCCACAAATCTTATTAAATATAATTTTGTAAAAAAGTAATACAACAAATTGAAATTCCTTATAAATTTTCATATAAAGATTAGGAGGCCTCTTTCTTGAACATAATTAATCTTAAAAATATGAATTAAAAGCCAGAAGGATCGATGAATGTTAAAAATATATTAATCATTTTTTTTAAATATAGGAAAATTTACTTAGTTTGTCCATTCTCAGATTACAACCTGTCTCAATTTAATAATTATTACCTTTCAATACTGTTAATGAAAGACTAAGGCTAACGAATTCATTTTTTAAAAAATGTTTACAGCTCAAATGTTACCTATGTCATATTCTAAACTTCTTCTTATTCACTAATATTTTAAAAAATAAATAACCAATTTCCTTTTTTTAATTATTTTTTATCTTGGGTAAATTAGGATGGAAAAGGTCGTACCGCCAGACCGACAAAATATTATTTAATTTCCGACCAATCAACAATATATGGTTGAGTTTTATAATTATATTAAATATTATACATATTGAGACATGCCACCCCTTTATGAGCAAGAGGTATTTATCAGCACAGACTATATTCTACAATCAAATATAAAAAAAAAAAATTTTTTAAACTCTTCTCCCATTAACATCAAATTCTCCCATAAGGTTTCGGCTCCTGAAGACGAACCCTAAAATGATTATTGGCTGTACCGAACACACCATCCTGGAACTGCTGTCATTGGATCCTTATTTATTGATCAATTTATATTTACTTCCTTGGAAGTTGACTGTTAAATATGTTTTACCTAAAAATTATTTCAGGACCATCATACTTGAATACGATCCTTGGTCTCTTTAATATTTACTTTATAGGTTATAATTTTTGATAGCCTAATCATTATCAAACTAATGAATACTGCAATGCGGATTGAAGATTCTTCGTAAAAGTTGACCAATTACCAAGAATAATTGTCAAAATATATGAAAACATTATATTATAATTATGTCAAAAGAAAAACAGTATATATTTTATATTCGATTTGATTTAGTGATGCTGATGATATAACCCCACAGATGTTATTTACATCAAATACAACAATTAAATTTATAATCATCATATTCTTATAACAATATTTATAATAAAGTAACAATAATTCTATTACAAATTTAATATTTTTTAAAATTATTAATTATGATTAACAAATATAATTCGCGTTTATATAAATAATGAGTCTATACTGGCGTATTAAGTTTAATTGTTATATCACATTTTTTACATTAATAATCATTAGTATAAAATAATTGACTATATAGGGTTTACATTTGCGTATTAAGTTTAACCGTTATATCACATTTTTCCATTCATAATGATTAGTATAAATAATTGACTATATTTGCGTAAAATATAAAAAAGAGTAATATAAATGTTGTCAATAGTCTTTAAAAGCTATAAAAAAAAATAAATATATTTTTCAAAATTTAAATATTTATGAATGATAGATATCACAAAAAAAAATAAATGAGGTAATAAATAATAAATTAAATTTAGAACCCTTGAAATATTTTTTTAATATATTAAATATATGATAACCCGAATTTTTGAAGAAAAAAATTGAGAATTTTTTTAAAATTCTTTTTCATAATCTACCAAGCCTAGCAGTGGCATATTGTTTTCGTAACGTTCCATATTTTCTTTGAAAACTTTGGCCACCTAAACAATTAGTTTGGGTGTATAAAAATAAATATTATTAACGCGCGATTATTTTAAAAAAAATAAGAAAAATATTTAAAATTTATGCAGATATAAAAGCAAAAATGAAATAAGCTAAAAAAAATATGTCAATAAATATTTATATCCAAAACTTGCTTTTGTAATCATAAAATCATTTATCCATTTTTAGAGCTAACCTGAATTTTTTAAATGTCACAAGTATAGCCAACGACATATAATAATACCTAGAATGACGATGCATTCATTAAAAATGTACAATTTTAAAATAGATGGGGAAGCCATTTTGATTACCCATATCATTATTAAAAATTTTTATCGAGAGGCCAATTTATTCCTACTGACGCAAACTTTATTAAAGAATTGTCTGATCATCGAGATAATAAGGCAGCAAGTTATCGATTTAATAGTGGTTTTAAACATGATAATAATTACTATAGGGTTTACCAAAATGGCGGGTCCAGCTGATTTGCCTTCAACGACGCTTTCAAATGCATTATTATGAATGCATCGTCAGTCTAGGTATTATTATTATATGTCATTGAGCACAGCGTTCCAATAATACGCGACAGAAATTTGTGCTCGCTTATTAAAATATAAGTATCACAAATGATTAAGCTAATATTTGAACGATCTTAAATCTCCTATTCTATCATTCTCACTTAGCAACAAAAAGATGGGCGAGGAAGACCCCTACATCTCCGCGCCAATTTTTTCTTTCTTTCAACATTTAACTCCTACCCGAGAACCATTTCAATTCTCAGTACAAAAAAGCAACCCCGAAATTAATGAACGCGTCCTAATTGACCCGAAAATAATTAATTTGGGAATATATTCTAATTTTAGGCTATGTCCAAAATCAGTTTTAAAAAAAAATTCGAAAAAGTTTTAAAACGACTTTCAAGAAGTAGTTATAAAATTTTAACGAAATCGTTACGTTAAATTTTTGAAATTTTCTAGAATTACATTTTGGACATGTTTTTATTTTTATATTTGGAAGAAGCTTATATCTTCTTTTTCGTCAAAGTTTCGAAAGTTTGAGAAATCGTATTTTTTGATATTTTGGATATAGCCTTAAAAATTATTAAAAAAAATAATATTATTATTATTATTACCATTGATGGCATTGACGTTCCCGATACGTGAGGAGTTATCGTAATCTTTTTTTTTAAAAAAATAATAAGACGCTTTAAGTTTGATATATAAAATAGATATCACCCGGAGCCAAATTTAGAATTTCCAGGAATCAGAATTGGTTCTAAGTTGGTGTTGCTAAACAGCTCTATTTGACCAAATTATATTAAGCAAGCCTAAAGATTTCGCTTAAAGATGGCACAAGGTTTTAGACAATCCATTAGCGAAAACTCGATACTTAAGACAATATATTTTCTGGGTTAAGTTATTGAGTTAGACGTTTTTAAAAAAAAAATCGGCTCAAAACGAGCAGCCGTTTAACAAACCATTATTTCTTAAGAGAATCGCAACTAATTTGTTTTATATTATGTTTTAGTTTTTCTAAAAACAAACGACTCATCGGATATCCGCTATGAGGGGATTCGGAGTTTTTTCATTTTTTAGGTCATCTAACTAGAACGATATTTAAATAAGAAAAAGCCCATTTTATCGGGATACGCATTCAAGCATTTTAGAATTAGACTAAAACGTCAACAAAATAAATTTTCAACAATTTTCGCCGTAAACATTTGTGATTTTTTTTTCGATTTATATGGAAAAATCTATATCTTACAAAGAGTATCAAATGTTTTCCTGGAAAATTGCTTAAAATTCATAGGTTTATGTATCTGGTATTGATGGAAAATTCTAATGGGAAAAAATCGAATTTTTAAAATTTTTCTCGTAAAATAATCCTAAAAATGAGAGATTTACAAATCTTCACGTATTTCGAATAAGCTTACGATATATAACAACTATATTCAAAATGTCATATATATTCATTTTATAGGTTTTATTAACTAATTAAATTATTAATTAGGAACAACATAAAATTTAAAAAGAAGAACCCAAACAACTTAGCAGTCAAGGTTCCAAACCTTGGCATGAATATTTATTTTAATGTATACTATACATATAAAAGTTTTGTTGTTTGATTAAAGGAATTCTCTAATTATGTTTTTATTAATTATTTTTTTTAAAGCTGAAGAAAAATGCTTTTTAAAGTAAAAAATGTATGAATTATTTAATATGTATATAGAAAGAGGAAAGAAAGAAAGAAAGGTTTGATAATCATAACTATAAGGGTTTAACAAAAATTATAATTTTTAATGAGGTTTTTGATTCCAGTTTAAAATTCTGAATAATTTAAAAGGGTTCATAAGTCAACAGAAAAAATATCGAGAAAAATATAATGTAGTAAATTAATCGTAAGACAACCTACGAGAGTTGCTAAACTGTTAATATTGAATGCCAATCAAATTTATCAACCTGGGGCATAGTCCATAATTTACTATCGGGAGGTAATGGTTCTGTCTCGAAAACGTCTAAAATGGCACCGGATATCCAATTTTGCCTATTAAATTGTAATAAATATATAATACCATATGACAAATAAAATGGGGCGGAAACGTATAAAATCTCGAAAATTTTAAATGCAACAGTTATAGTGCGTACAAATTGAGCGTTTAAGTTTTGCCTCGTTCTTTTTAATTTAAAAATAAAACCTAACGAATCCCTTGTTTAAATTGGGATTGCATCTAAATCCTTATAGTAAACGGGCTTATGTTCAAAGCGTGGCGTCATTTAAAGCAGCTTTACTACAAAATGATGCCAATAAAATAGGTATAATTTATAAATATTATGCGTTATGTTGATTTGATAATTCTGATATATTCGGTAAACATATGTTGCGATGGGTTTAAAATATATACGAAACGATTATAAAAATAATAGCGAATTCGATAAAAAAAAAGGTCTATGGTTTTTTCTTAAATATTCCCAAAATAATTAATTTTTAAATCTGAATCAGCTGTGATTTCGATAGCGTTAAATAACGCAACGCTTGAAGATAAGGCGTTCAATATAAATGTAACCGTATATTATAAAACAAAAAGGATTGGGGTTTGTAAATTATATTATCGTCTGCCTTTTTTTTATATTTTAATAATTTATAGATGATTCCATTTTAAAAGGCAAGTTAATTTATTTTACATTTTTTTCCGATTCCGTTCCAGCTTTCGGAACGTTCTTAGAAAAATATATAAATATATTTTTTTTAAATCTACACATTTTAAATAATCTTTATCCCCTCTTTTTAATTTTTTTAATTTTACTACTTGTTTGCTAATTGTTATTACTTTGCTATATAGTTCAATCATTGACATATAATAATACCTAGACTGACGATACATTCATAATAATGCATTTGAAAGTGTCGTTGAATGTAAATCAGTTGGATCCGTCATTTTGGACCCTATATAGTAATTATTCGAATGTTAAAAATACTATTAAATTGACAACTTGCTTCCTAATTATCTCGATGATCAGGCAATTCTTTAATAAAGTTTGCGTCAAATATAGGAATAAATTGGCCTCTTGTTTAAAATTGTTAATAATGATATAGGTAATCAAAATGGCATCCCCAGCTGTTTTCATTGATGTACACATTTAATGAATGCATCGTTAGTCTAGGCATTATTATATGTCATTGAGTTTAATATGATTAATGATTATTTATTATTATAAATAAATAATCAAAAGAACTTATATATGCATAAAATTTTTTATTCTCTTTTAATAATAGAAAATATATTTTTTGGAATGTTCCGGTTTCGTCCCGTAAATTTATTCAAAGTTCTGTTCCAAATCCCTGATATTGTTACTGTTAAATCCTCTAGAAAAAATTGCAACCTTTACAAAATAATTTTCCAGAACAGCTGTTAAATATATACGTTATTGTTGTGCATAATAACATCGTTCATTTCAGTTTGAGTTGATGTTAGAACATATGTTAATTGGCCTTTTTTTTAAACGCGGGGTTTGAATTAAAAGGTATCCCGTCTTTACAGAGAATCTTTTATAGAGAATGCAAATATAGAGAAACTTTTATAGAGAAAACAATTGTAGAGAATGTCGTTTATAGAGAATGATTTTATAGATAATTTATTTTATAGAGAAACTTTTAAAGAGAAAACAATTATAGAGAATGTCGTTTATAGAGAATGTCGTTTATAGAGAATCTCATTTATAGAGAATGATTTTGTAGAGAATATCGTTTATAAAGAATGATTTTATAGAGAATTTATTTTATAGAGAAACTTTTAAAGAGAAAACAATTATAGAGAATGTCGTTTATAGAGAATGTCGTTTATAGAGAATCTCATTTATAGAGAATGATTTTGTAGAGAATTTCGTTTATAGAGAATGATTTTATAGAGAATTTATTTTATAGAGAAACTTTTAAAGAGAAAACAATTATATAGAATGTCGTTTATAGAGAATGATTTTATAGAGAATATTTTACAGAGAATTGTTTTACAGAGAATTATTTTATAGAGAATATTTTACAGAGAATTGTTTTAGAGAGAATTATTTTATAGAGAAGGATTTTATAGAGAATAATTTTATAGAGAATGATTTTATAGAAAATGAATTAAGTATTATTTTAGAAATAAATTTTCTCAAAAAAAGCCAGATGCCGTCATATAAATTCTCGGAACCCTTGAATAGAAAAAGGGAAAAAATAATCATAAAAAAATTTATTCACGTTCCTGATTTGTATTGCTTATGAATAATTATGATAATATTTTTGAGTTTCCTCTTGTTATAATACGCTGAACAATTAGAAGTAGTAATACTAAAATTATGAAAATGTTTCCTTCTTTATCAGTTTCTATTAGTGCTTTGCTTTAACTAGTAGAGTAGCCATTTAAAAAAAAACTATTAGCAACAAAGCCAGCCTTACGCCAATTGTTTTAGAAAATTTTGTCAATATTTAGTTGCTTTGTGCATTATTTTAATCTGCTGACCCGGCCCCGATTTTTAAAAAATATATTATCTATTTTTAATTTGCCTAGATAATAATGGTGATTTAAAATATTTGGTTTTAAAATATATGGCCCGGCTCGAGTTTTTTAAAAAAAGCTTTTTTTGACCCGGCCCGTGTATTTAAAAAAATTAAAATACGGCCCGGGTTTAAGGTCGGGCCTGTAGGTCTCTGATTTATAGTGCGCTTTTATAATTTCCCTAATAAATCTGATTTTACCAATTCCGAAGAGAATCTACCATGGGAATTTCATACGATTGCGCCAAAATATTTTTGTATTTAATAATTTTATTTTGTTCTATTTTTTCATTTTAAATCATAAATTGAGCGCGTTTTATTAAATTTTATATCTGATTTTGCCGAAAATGCATTATAATATGTGTAGAATATACCCACCCACCCTATAAATTTCAGAAGATCTTATATTGAACTTCTGAAGAAATTTTAATTTACATTAATCTGAAACGAAAAATCGCCTAAAACTAATTAGACAAAATGTAGGGACTGGGAGCTAGGCTAATCGCCCGTCAGCGTTACGCAACACTAAGCCTAGCCTTTATTAAAATTATTTTATATATTTATTATGTAACGATATATGACGGGCGATTAACCGAGCTCCTTAGCCGATGCCTAATTTTGAATAATTAGTTTTCGCCTATTTTTATGCTAAGCCTAATTAATTATGCTTAGCCAATTTTTTAACCTAAAAACTTGGCTAACCGTTTTGGAATTGCCTAAAATTAACCGATTGCGCAACATTAAGGGTGGGTATTCTACACTTATTCAGGTGCATTTCTGGCAAAATCAGATTTTTAAATTTAATAAAACGCACTCAATTAATGATTTTAAATGCAAATAATAACAAAAAATAAAACATTACCCATTAAACTATCGCCTTACCAACATTAAGTTTAGTTAAAAGATCATTAGAGTACTGACTAATATTCACAGGGTAGGCAGGGAAGACCAGGGGGTGGTTGGATCAATTTCTGTCAAAATCGTCATAGGTCCGAAAATAATTGTATCTGAATTTACAAAATACAAAATGATAGTTCAAACCCTTACCTAAAAATTATACACCGACAAAATTTAAAATAATACACTTTTTTCTCTAAATTGATTTTAGTAAAATAAAAATTTCTTATTACAAGCCTAAACTCCTTAGGAGTGTGGAGAAAGGTGAATCAAAAAGTTTAAAATGTTTTTTATAGGTTTTTTGAACTTGTTAAACATTCCGAAGATCAGACTTTTAATATTTATAAGAAATTTTTTATTTACATATAGGGATTATATTTATTGATACCAATTTGTTTAAATATGGTTGGTTCACAGACAAGCTTGTCATCATATGATTATAAGAAGCTTTGTATCATGATATACACTGATTTCCATCACATTGTAATGTCTTTCTTTAAAAAATATCGAAACTTGATATTTGCAGCAGATTGCACAATATTTTACTAACTCTTTTACACTTAGAAGTTATTTCAAGTACCTAATTATCAAAAGATTTTTCATCATATATTATAATACTACCCCCTTCTTCCCCCACTCTCCTCATTTCCTATACCACATCAACAACGGAATTTCAAATACAAACTACCCTTTTTAATTTCAATGCCAATCATGAGTTATAACCCCTTCCCCTGTGGTAAAAGATCCTGTTTAACATTGTTTGAATGGTTAAGAAGCGTCTTTTTATTATTGGTAGTCGGTCCATAGATCTGGTTATAAGCAAGTATAATTATCATTAATATTTAAATTTCTTCGTATCATTAGGGCTAATTATTTATTCAAACTTTTCTGTTGGGGGGAGGGGTGGATGTTTCTTAATAAAAAAATTTTCATGATTAAAGCAATATTTATATTTTCCAGCATAGCATAAGGATTTTCATTATCTAAGCTTCCTGAGACAGTTATATATAAAGGCATAGAAAATGTAAAAAAGAGATATTTTCCACCTTTCGATTTTTTAGGGTTGTATCTACTCCTTGAAGTACAACTCACAAAGTAAATATTTCATTTCATTAAATTTTCTCATCTTCAGCGATGATAGTAACGTCCAAACACTATTATCGCCACTCTAATAAAATTTATGACATTCATCAGATCAATAAAATATAGCAACTGAACTGAAATGGAAATGTACTATAATTTGTGTTAAAAATAGCTAAGTTATTTTTAATAGTATATGAGGCATGTTCAATTCATTCAATTTTAGCTCTACTTATATTTATTATATTTCTATATCTATTTTTATATAATTTTGTCTTTGATCACATAATTGGGAAAAAGACTCGTCAGGAAGCAAGAACTTAGCAAGAATCAATTAAGGAAATCAATAATCTATTTTTTTCCCAATTCCTAAGTCACAATAGTGGCAATTTCATCATCAGAGATTACACGAATTAAGTACTGAGATGGATAGTTATTCAATTCGACAATCTACCTATGATGCTGAATATTGTTTCATGTCTTGTTGTGATAAGCTTTGACCTTGTCTTTTTGATTAAACAATAAGAGAACTTTATATAAATTTATTATCAAAAAATGTTTATCAAGTCCATACTAAATCCCTCACTAAATAAAGCATGCTTTGTCAAAGAATAATATAAATCCGAGGTCTAATTATCTTTTTGGCTCAATGTTTAAAATAAAACTTTTTTTCTTAGTGCCTTGCAAATTTTATTTATTTCGGCCAAAGCTCCATCCAAAATCTTTATTTTTAGGAGCCTAGCCATAATTTTAAATTTTAGGCCTGAGCTTGTCCTGTCCCAAATTTAATTGAAAAATATACCTAAACGCATATTAAACAATCAATTAATATAAAAATTTAATTCCTTTACCCTAATCTTTAGAGACATCTATTTTATAGCTTAGAATCTTTTTTATATTTTTTGAGTCGAAAAAAATCAAAAGCCTTAACCCTATTTAAAAAAAAAAATATTTTTAGACCCAAGCCCAACTTTAACTTAATTTCCAGGTTCAACTAAGTCTGTCTAAATACCGATAAATATAAAATTGTAGTTTTTATCAAACTCCATTCCCGATATAGCAACTGATGTAATTCATTTCAGATAATGCATTCGCGACAATGAATTCGCGATAATACATTTGCGATAATGCATTCGCTATAATATTTTCGCTGTATTATACTCGCTATAATGCATGATAATGCGTTCGCGATAATGCATTTGCGGTAATGCATTCGCTATAATATTTTATATAGAAACCTTCAATTTACGGTTTTGGTTTTTTAAGAAGGACAAAATTATGGTGCTTATAAATCAAAAATATTGGTTTCTCTATAAATATGTGGAACCCCAAATAGAGATCGGCACTTTTCGACACTCAATATATTAAAGCCATCGCATACATCTAAATGTGTATCATTAGAGATTAATGAATTCTTAGTTATCTATATTAAAAAGATTTATGAATAAAATTTGTATAATAAAATAGAAAGAAAATTATATTTAGAAACGTGTTCCGAAACGCAGAACGAACGGGAATGTGACATATTTTTTACCCAAACAACTGGTTAAAACCTTTTCTTAATTAAAATTAAAATCAAGATTCTCGTCCGTCATATTATATCCATAAGGGTAAAGTTAAGAACCCTTCTATAGGCTAATTTAGGTAGCTGACATATAAATGCAATATATAAAAATTTTAAAAATGGTTCGTTCAGTTTAGATTCTCTTTAATAACGGTTAATACCTATTTAACAAATCGTTTCAGGTTTGGTTTAGCTGAGTTAATAATCAAGCTAAACCTTGATATGAACTAAAAAGATTTTACAAAAAAACCATTGTTGAAACAAATAAAGTCATCGAAAAAATACAACAAATAAACTGAATTGTATTATTAAAATGTTAATTTTGATATATTTTTCAAATCCCGCATAAATTTTTTGAACTCTACAATTGTCCCATATATAATATTTCTCTATAAAATCAAGATCTAGAAAATAATTTTCCATAAAATAATTCTCTACAATGTAATTCTCTACAATGTAATTCTCTACAATGTAATTCTCTACAAAATGATTCTCTACAATGTAATTCTCTATAAAAGTAATTCTCTTTAAAATCATTCTCTATAAAATCATTCTCTTTGAAGTCATTCTCTATTAAGGACCTTCTCTATAAAATAATTCTCTATAATCGACATTCTCTATAAAACCATTCTCTATAAACGGCATTCTCTATAAAATCATTCTCTTTGAAGTCATTCTCTATAAAGGACATTCTCTATAAAATAATTCTCTTAAAAATCATTCTCTATAAATTACATTCTCTATAAATGCATTCTCTATAATTGTTTTCTCTATAAATGTTTCTCTATAAAATACATTCTCTATAATGGTTTCTCTATAAAGACGTGGAACCGAATTAAAACTAAATTTCTTTTTTTTCACCACCATAAAATCGGGAAAATATTGTATTTAAAATTAAGTTGTCTTTTCGCTAATTATTGAAAATTGCAAAAACACTATCTCGTATATTTTACTAAAAAAAATTTTTTGCCATTAATATTGAAGGGATTTTAATTTTTTAAACTGGACCCTAAACTCAAATTTATGACAAAAAGTGTTAAATAAGATAAATATAGTAATTAAATGGAACGATAATCATAGCAAAGGTGGAAGCGGGTTAGCCAAACCTGAGCCATGAAATTTATTTTAATCAGAGTTTCCCAGTAATTATTTTTACTTGGCCCAGTCTGTAAATTAATTTTGTATAGATTTTCATGCCCGGGCCCGTAATAATTTTATGTAGGGAAACATACATAAATTTGCCTAATAATCAGTTATAAGAACATTTAAAAAAACTTTGACCTTAGCCTAGAAACACATAATTTGGCCATCCCAAAAAATCGTTTTGTCAGGGACCATGGCACCGACTTCTAATTCATAGTATAATTCGAAGTGTATAAAATATTTCTCAAAAAGAAAGGAAACAATTTATAAAAAATGGAAACTTAAAAATAAAATTCTAACTCAATGGCGCGAATCAAGTCCTCTTCGGATATTAAATCACCCCTACCAATATTGACTAGTATAGGTTTCTGTGAAATTATGTATCGTGCATTGATTAAAAAGAAGATATTAAATTCCTTTTATTTAAAATTTTTGGTATAGTATATAAACAAAATCTGGACTTAGACGACTTGAAAAATTGAATGTTTTCATAAGATAGTAAGCATGACCTGCAGATTTTTAGTATATTAAATACAAGAATATAATAGCAATTTATGTGACTTATTATCTATTTTTATTTTTGATAATTATATAAATACTATTATGAAATTGCTTATTGATGCCTTTTTCATTTTTAACACAATAATATTATATAGTAATTTACACTATATTAAATACATAATAATTGTTAAAGTACATTTTGGCTTGTGTGTTTAAGGAGTGATAAAGAAATTTTTTTTACAAACAATCAAATAAAATTTGGGATTAATTCAAACCTAACTTATTCGGGAGATTGATAAATAATTTAGATTATAAAAAGAATTACTTTGTCTGAGGCAGCCTTTAAAACGTCTCCATTTAACATACCCTTGGTAGAGGGGATGCTAGGTAAAACGGATACGATATAGTCGCACGATTTTAAGAATACTTCCATTTCGTCATTTACCCTGTTAAATAGTTTTTTCGATTAATTACATTTTTTTTTAAAAAAAATTCCAACTCTAATTCTTTAGGAACATTTTTACTATAAGCTCTTTTTAGAGCCATCGACATTTTTTAAAATATACATTCACTTTTAATATATATATATATATATATTCATTTTTTATTTTTATATTTTGTTTACACGTTTTAAAGATTAATGATTAGTAAAATCCAAAAAATAGAATAATATTTTAATTCTAAAAAATGTTCGATCCATGCATTTGTCAAGTTTATACTTCTAAGTTTAAAATTTATATAAAATTATTACAGTAAATTAAAAATAACAAATTCTGTTTTTGATTTTTTAAAGTTTACATAGAAATATCCAAAGTTTCACTCTTTCGCCTCCTGCTGCGGGTAAGGGATACGATGTTCGCGCCAAAAGCTTTGCACGACCTGGAGACTTTTAAATATTGACATTTTATTTTTTTAAAAACAAAAAAAAAATGGTTAAGGATCCGGTACCCTCTTTTCTTTCTTTCTTGTGGAAAATATATAATGGGCCTGTGGGTGTTTTTATTTTAATAAAGTCTCCGCATAAACGTTAATGCTCAATTTGAAAGCATTCATTAGAGTATCCTTAAAGAGATTGATATGATTTTGTGGTATTTGGCAAGTATTTTCTGGGATAGAGTTAAAAATTACCTACGTTTTTGTCTCAAAACCTTAACAACACATTAAAATCGATATAGCTTGGTAAATCCTTAGAGTTAGGATTATCTTACCTTTATCTTTATTGCTTTATATTAAAAATAAGTGATTTTTTGAACTTATTTGTTTTGGTAAAATTTCAGTAATGATTTAATTCAAAAAAGGTGAAAATCGTCAAAATAATCATTTTTTTTTATTTTAAAACTATTTTCGTTATATTACAATTTTATGCCAAATAACCTTACTAAATTTACAATTCCCCCGAAATTTTATAAATACATGATCTTTTGAAAGATTATATAATGAGAATTGATAAGGAATTTTTACCAATATGTTATCTTATGCTAAGTGGCTTTGCCAGGTATACCAAAATCTTTTTAGTCTCACACTTTTCTCTATTTTACAAATGACAATTTAAAGTGGGTTAAAAATTTTTGAAATAAACTAATATACTTTCTTCTCCAATATCGCCTAGACCCATGAATCCAATTGTAAGATCTGAGAATGTTCTATAGCCCCATTCTACACTGTCCCTAATAGGAAATTTTAAAATACCTTACTTATTGTCATCATAATAGAAAAAATAACTTGTTGAAGAAATTTTAGATATAATTTATAATATCTTTCTTTTTAGATAAGAAAAGATATTGTTAAAAACAATATTTTAAAAAAATTAATCTAATATAATGTTGTCACCATGCAAGGCCTCTTAGGTATTTTTGAAATTGTTCAGGGGACACAAATAAAACTATTTAACTTGTTATTACATAATTATAAAATATTATATTTATTAATGAATTTTAACTTTTAATTATAATATTTCTTCATTAAAATGATTTTTTAAATTTTTTTTACATATGTTACTGTCATGCCACTTACAAGTTTTTGTTGATCAGTTATGAGGTTTTGATGACTTGTTTTTTAAAATTTAATGTTATTTGGTTTAAAATATATATTGAAACTAGTGATCTAAAGGGCCCAGCCCAATCCCCCCCCCCCCCAGGGTATGAATTTACTTTGGTCTTATGTGGGCCTAAGTTTTGAAATTTTTTTTAGTTCAGGGTAAGACAAAAAATTTTTTATTGAATGTAGCTGAACTTTTCGAGCTGGTCCTAATATGCAGATCTCTAATTGAGTCATTATTTTTTGAGAATGTTATAAAAAGGTATTTTGAAAAAAAATGCTACTTGCAATTTACAAGGACTTGCAGTGGTGACAACAATATATTTCTATTTTGTAATCATTTGAAATTGAAAATATAAATTGAAATGTCATTACCATTTGCAAAGTTTTTGATTATCGTGCATTTGATAAAAGTGTCTTTCTCGAATGATTATCTGTGCTATGACATATTCTGCCATAACAGTTCCAAAAACACCAGTCATTCGAGTAAAAGCTAATTCTTTTGGAATCTGATTAATATTTTATTTGAATAAAATATAAAGATTAAAAAGGAAGTCAATAAGGAATTCAAAGGAATAATAAAGGAAAATGAAGATATAAATATCACCTGTTTTTTATCTAAGTCTTTGAAAAATCCGTCGACACCTTTTAACAAATTATCAAATAGATATTAATATTTTTTTAAACTGTTTAGGGTATTAAATTAAATTACTTATTAACAAAAAAATTTTCTAACAAAATAATTTAACATAAAATAAAGCATTTAATTTACTATTTTAAATTAATAAAATGGGAAATAATATTATTAAATGTAAATAAAACCAGCAGAAACAGATTGGATCCATTTGATATTAGGTATGCAAGGTATTAATAAGGCACCTACTGCAGCATCAGCCAATACAAATTCATAGTGTTTTACATTTCTTTTGATTTCATCATTTAATATAGGTTTGCACTCTTTAGCATTTCCTTTATATATTTGCATTTTAATTGTGTATAGTGTAAAATATATAATGTATTAGCCTAGTTTTTTTTTTGTGAATTATAAAATGATTCTTAAATATTTATGGACAATACAATCCTACCGTTTCATTCATTTTAATATATATATAATAATTTTATAATGATGCTTTATTTTTAAAGTATTTTTTTTTAATGTGAGTAAAATTAAAACTTAGAATATTTCCTAATTAAACATCTTATAAATATATCTGATCAAAATTATAGGTTTAATAAATTTCTTTTGATCTACATTATTTTAAAATGAGAGAAATGTTATTAAAAGGCTTGATTCAAGGCTAACTCAATATTTTATATAAAAAAATTTTACTCATACCTGAGGATCTTAGTCATATATGGCACAAAGGTTCGGACCCCTATTGGTTTAGCAATATTTTCCTGACTAAAATATAGTTAGCCAATTTAAAAAATCAGCTCAAATCAAGCTTTTAATAAACACTAGATCAAGAAGACTCTATCTTATCAATTGTTTAATTTTCCCACTCATTTTTAATATTTAGTTAATTTTAAATATAATTATTTTTTATAATTGCCATTATTTCTCAAAATGTAAAGAACGTGTACCAATCTATTTCAGTCTAAATTTATTGATTTTAAATAATAAACTGTGTTCCATCATATATAGAGTGATGTGAAGGTATGATGGAACACATTTCATGTTTTTAATTTATTTGCAAATACCTAAAAATATAAATTTGATAGACCTTAAAATAATGGCAATAAATTTTTTTTGCAAATGAACCAAAAATTTTTCTATTATATCTTCAAAACTTGTAATATCCAATATATTAAACAAATGGCAATAGATACTAAATTAATTCATCAAAAAATTATATTGCTGCAACAATTTGTCATATTAATTTACTTACAACACTTAAAATGATAACTATTTTATGCAAAATTTATAGCAATAAAACAAAAAAATGTATTTATATTAAATACTTTCAACAGGGATTTCTAAAAATTCTATAGCAGGAAAAGCCTTTATCATATATTCAAAAACTCCTGGTAACCATGTAGAAATAATTACATTTTTCACTTTAATTAGCTTCGTCATTATTGTCGTGAGAAAAAATTTAAATTAATTGACGACCGAATGAATGATTTGTTTAATTCTTTTATGAAATCCTTTTTTTTAACATTAAACTTTCATTTTAATATATATATATAATATATATACGATTTTAAAATGTATACAATACAATAAAAGGATGAGCAATATAAAAATACAAAATCTTTATTATTAATTTTTTTTTAAAAAAAAGGTAATAAAATACTGTAATGTAATAAAAAAAAAGAGAGAAAGAACGCGAGGAGGTGCATCTAGGATATAGCACAAAGGATTGATATGCTATGCCACCTACAAATTTTTATTAAGATATGTTGGCATTATTTACTGGTGTTAGACTTTGACCGGTTAGAAAATATATATCTCTACTCAAAAAAGATGAGTAACAGAAGCGTATCAAAGAGGAAGGAGAAGCTCGAGTTCCCTGTATAATTTGAAGAGTCCTAAATAAAATTTCAAAAAATACATAGAAAAGGTTATCTTAAAAATATTTCCCAAAATAAAGGTAATTTAAAAAATATTTTATAAAATGATTTCAAAAATATTTCTTAGAAAAATAGGCAAACGTTGATGTTAAATTTTTCAAATTATAAGGTTTAAAAAAAACACATGAATTTATAATTTGTCAACCACAACCACCACGAATTGCAGCAAGACGCCATCGTTCCAATATTATTATAGGCTAAGTAGAAGAATACCATAAAATAAATCTCTTCATGTCTCGCTTGGATACTTTTGTAACACAAATGAATGGGTTCTTGATTAATCAGAAGAGCACTTACAAATATGTAAACATATCGTATAATTTTTGTCTATTAATCTTGATGGAGAAAAATTTAATATTTGGTAGATTTTAATTATGAAGAAGTTAATATACTTCATAGTGCATTACTAGATGAATGCAAGTAATGATATAAAAGGTTAGGTATGGTTGATATTATTCTATTCACATAATTTTAAACATATTGTATAGTATTTTTCTAATATACAAATATTTATATATATATTGGCAATATTACCCATTAGTATTTCCACAATTAAAGAATTTTTTTTACCAAGAATAAGTGAGGGATAATATTGTTAAATGGCTCAATATGAGCCGATTTTAAAACGGCTTAGCTAACTCAATTCTGAAAATATTGTTAAAGCTCGAGAATTTTCTAATAGATGTCAAAACCTTTGTGCCAACTCTGAGCAAAAAATTTAGACTTAAGTTAAACATTTTAATCGGCTCAAATCGAGTCGTTTAACAGCATGACGGAGTAGAGTTGTTAAAAACCCGATTCGGGTCGATTTAAAAAAAAGGTTCGATTAAGATTCTAACCAAAATAACACATTAAGTTAGCCTAAAGATTTTGCACATAGCTGGTAGAAATGCTTGGGCATCTCTCTGCCAAATCTCGATGCTTACATAATATTATTTTAGCCATAATCTTAATCGGGCCGTTTTGAAAAATAGACTCAAATCGGGCCTTTTAACAACACAACTACGGAGAAGTACTACCTTTAAAAATAAATTGACGCAGACCTTCTTAATATACATATGGACTTTACAACAAGCCTAAATAAAACCAAAATAGATAGTTCAATCTCAAAGAAGATTGAATACATTATATATTTATAATATGCCTCTTAATTACTTTTTTTTTTCATTTTTTAATACACCATAATATATACTTTGTAAATATAAATGCAATATTTAGAATATTTTTGTGCATTAATCTATATTTCTAATATTTATTTTCTTTAAAATATAGTTTGTTGCCATCCCCTGTTCAAACCACAGATATATATCCCCCCCCCCTCAAGAACTCAGAATGTCATTAGGGCTCTGCTTTAACTGCATTATCATAACACCACACTCGATCTCCCTGCACTGCAAATTTTCTAAGTCTAAAAAAATGCTACTAATAGCCAACATTCCTCCTACCTTACAACCAGTTGAACTAAATATATCTAATAAAAAATTAGACGGTGTCATACTTACGTGGCCGAAAGCCAGATCTTTGATATGTGATTATAGATGCCATTACAAAATTGAACGCACAATACGCAACAATGGCGGCTGCCGAACTAACCAAATGTAACAAAAATTCCCAATTATAAAATTTATTTTTCTTTTACCTTTCGTTACTTTTTTAATTAGCATATTCGACGAATATGCGATCTTTTTTAAAAACGTTAGGTAAAAAAAACTATTAACAATCACTGGAAATGTCCATGAAAATTTATGGCATAAACAAAGAATATCTCCCAAAATATGAAGATCCAATTTTATCTCCATCCTAGTTCCAGATTATTAAATATATAATTTTAATCCCTCCCCCTCCCCTCCTCCTATCGTTTTTCATATATTTTTTAATACATATGTCGTATGGGGTTTCGGAATCTCTCAATTTTAAATCATCTAAGGGCGATTTTTTAAAAATCTGATTTTACTGCTAGAGTATGTTTCCGGTTAAATCGAACTTTAAAATTTTTTAAATCGCTCGGTAAAGGTTTCAAAATGAAGAGATTCCAAATCCCAATACATATATTTTTATATATATTTATTATTAAAAAAAAACAAATTTCCCTATTATACTAGTTTTAATATATTTTTTTTAAATTATAAATTTATTTGAAAATAAAATAAAATACCACTATAAAAAAAAAATAATTAAATATACATGTCTAATTTTTAAGAAAAGTTTACATTTTATTTTTATTTTATAGTGGATTCATTATTTTAGAATTGTTATTCGTTAATTCATCTTAAAATTTGTATATTAGAAATGATCATTATTGTATAGTTCTCTGTAGGGATCTTTAGGATCGAGTTGGGCAAAAATTAAAGATATTTATTTAAGCGGTAATATAAATAATGTTTGTCACAATTAACGGCTCGTTTTGAGCCGATTTTTAAAAACGGCTAACTCAATACTTAATCCAGAAAAATATTACGCAAGCCTCAAGATTTTGCTCATAGAAGGAACAATAGTCTATACATATATTATCGAAATCTCGAGGCTTAGGCAATATTTTTCAGGCTAAAATATTGAGTTAGCCTTTTTAAAAATCGGATCAAAACGAGCCGTTTAACAACACTAATCACAATTCATCGGTATATGTATATATTTCGGTAAAAGTTAATTTTATATATAAAAAAAAATTTGAATATTATTATTACAAGAAAATAAATTATATTAAATCAATTTAAGTATGTAATTATTGTTTAATAAAAAAAGAAAGTTTATAATTTTCCATTATATTGACTTGTAGACGCAAAGCAATATATAAAAATGATAATTATATCATATTATTATATGCATCGAATAAAATTTTCAAAAATGAGAAGTAAAAAAAAGTAATATGTTAAATGGGAAAAGGATTAAATATCAATAATTAATATGCCAAAATTTCATAAAAAATATATGTATGTGTGTGGGGGGAGGGGTGTTAATATAGCTTTCCAAACTAGTGTTGTTAAATAGCTCTTTTGAGCCGATTTTTAAAAACGGCTAAATCAATATTTTATCCAGAAAAATAGTACTCAGGCCTGTAGATTTTGTTCTTAGAAGGAACAAAGGTCTAGACATATATTATCGAAAGATCGAGGCTTAACTAATATTTTTCTGGGTAAAATATTGAGTTAGCTGTTATTAAAAATCGTCTCAAAATGAGCCGTTAAACAAAACTTTTCCAAACTAGTCCTTCGTAATTATAATTTAAATTTAAAAAAAAACTATAATTAACACTATATGGAGCTAATTTACCTTATAGTTGTTATTTGTAATCATAATTCCAATAATAGATTAACTTTAAATATTACATTACACCAGGCCTTATGAAACTAAATATAAAATGTAATTAATAATATAATATTCTAATATGGATATTAAAATTATATATTACATTTTGAACTTATAATAGTTATATATATAAAAGGATATGGAATTTTTTTTAAAAAAAAGCAGCTCGTCTTCTTTAGTAAAATGCCATGCGGGCTCAGGAATAAACGGCAATTCTTTTCATGTCGGCTAAACATCAGTTTTTTCAATAAGCAGCTCTTAGTCTTTAATACCATACCATGCGAGCGAAGGAATAGGAAATAGTTTCATCCCTTTCACCGTTATACTATAACATATATATAAGAGTAAAAATATTTTCTATAAATTAGATTATATTCATACAATGCAAAAACTATTTATGAAAGCCGGGGGGAACTGTTTATTACAAAAGCTCTCATAAGCTTCTATCATTTTTTTTTTGTTCATTTATTTAAAAAAAAATCCAAATGACAGACATAACAATATATATGGAAATATATATCGAAATAATTAGCAACCAATAAAGTTCCTTGAAAAGGAAAGAACGAGCAGAGAATAGGATTTAGAGCTTCCTGGGTGCCTAAATTTTTGTATGATTTATAATATGAATTATAATTTTTTTTTTTTAAAGTATGAAATATTACATATAAACCTTATTGGTCATTTATATTATAAATTATTTGTATTCAAATATAATATATTGACTAGTATATTACCATTTTAAAATTTCCAGGATTAATAGTAATTTTATACATATAACATAGTACAAAATGTTTGTTGTTAAAATGGTTATACATCTCTTAAATTTTTTTTCGTAGAGTACCAATATGTAACTCTCGGAGCCGCGTAAAATTCCAAGAACTGCTGACCAGAACCTTTTTCAATGTTTTAGGGACTGGAATCGGAACCGATAACCTTCGATGGGTTAGGTCACAAACTCTTCGACAATATTTCGACCCTATAAAGTTGATATAATTAGGAAACATTTATATTTTGTATATTTTTTTTAAAAAAATCTTTTAAATTGTAAACTGGACATTTGAACTCCCCTTTCTCCATCCACCGAAATTTTTTTTTAATTTATAAATGGAATATGTTCCCGGAAGCCATAAAATTTCAAATCAAAAGTTTCAAAAAAATACAAAATGAATGAATGCCATTTTACAACTAT